AGTCATGCTCTGTTTGCTGGTGAGTTGGTTTGGGTCAACATACTGAATTAACAGCAAAGTTGCTGTCTGTCCTTGTTAAAATAAATCACTTTTCATTTACATAGCATAATTATTTAAATCAGCTTTTATTTTCCTGGGCTTTTCCTCTTTTTTTTTTTTTTTTATTTTATTTCGTTTTAATCTTTTATGTCATTCTGACTTTCACTATGAGGATCAGATGGGCAGAGGCTGCTTTGTACGTGTTTAAGGAACATATCCAGATTTCACAGTGCAGCTGTAGAGCATGTCTACAGCAGAACCAACCTCAGTGTGACCTGAGAAGTTGCAGGTTTTAGAGACATTGTTACCTCTATGAAAATGGCTAATATGGCAAACTCCTCATTGTGTCAGCTTCAGAGAAACCAGAAGTATTTTTGGATTGTAAGCTTTAGCCTCTTCCACACCAGGAGAATTCACTCTCTGAACCTGAAGTTTTAAACAGAAAGAGAGACATGATGTTCTCTCATCTGGTTAAATTAAAATAGCATTGGTGTGAGATCAAGCTTACACTGCAAACTAAACACAAGCTGGAATTTGGTCATAACTTACTGCTCCTATGAGTTTTTGCTGTAGTAAGGGAAGGTGGCAGCGCCTGCAAAAATAGGAGCTGTGCTCTTTCCCGACAAAGAGAACCCCTACTGCTGGTTTTTAAAGATGTGAAGCTTGTCCAGGAGTTTTCCATCTATAGGCTAAGAGATGCTGCACTCAAGGCTGCATCCCGTTTAGAAATGTAACACGAATGCCTACTGTAGATCCATCTGCCTGTAGTGGCTCCTAATAGAATGGATCAGCCCAGCTGGAAACCAGCCAGCAGGCAGCCCAAGTTTGGTCACGTCAAGTGAGGTACTTTTTTAGCAGAAGGTGGAAATTAAACACTTGCTCAAGTCTTGCAGCTTGAGTTGGCAAGATTTGCTCACTGTGTTACGGATTTCTTTTACTATGGGTGACACCAAGGGGGGGAAAAATATTTTGTGGAAAAAGGTGTAATTAGATGGATTTTGGTTAATTGCAGTGGACTTAGGGGCAGTGCAGCAGCCAGACAGCAGACTTCTGTGAACTGTAGAGTGCGGGAATGGGAAACACAAACCTGCTTTAGAGTTGGGATTTAGCTGTGTAAGAGCACAGTCTGCTGCAGCCTCTGCCAGCAGAAGGGCAGGAGCAATCACATCCAAGAGCCTGGAAACATGGGTGGGAATTAGGGTGAGGTGTAAGCAGCAACCTCTGCCTCACCTGTCGGTCCTGAGGAGGATTTTTGGCACCAGGTCTGCAGAGCTCTGTCTCCTCCTGAGTCAGGCTGCCCTGTGGGGCTGAGCAAGGTGCTGCTGTTATGGTCTGCGTGTTTGGAGAGGGTGGCAGGGGTAATTGAACATTTAATTCTGGCAGCTGGAGTGGAGCAGCACTGGGCAAACCAGGAGTGTTTATGGGAACCCACCGAGGCCTGGAGCGTGAAAACCAAGCCTCGGGTGTGGAGGCTTGTGTGGGAGTCACACTCCTGACCCTTAGGGCTGAAAATCAGATCATTCTCCCCAGGTTTTCATTGCTTGAGTGAGCATTTCAGGATAAAGATTTATAAAAATTCAAGAGGTGGTTTTCCAAGAGTCAGGTAGGGATTTTTGGCAAGTGTCTCGTATTAAGCTTTGTGCTCAAACAGTGCAATTTTTTGGAGCTATCCAAGCCCTTGGTGCAGCAGGTGTAATTCCTGCTCTTCTCAGTAAAAGGCTAGGAGCTATCTCATCCAGGAATGTTGTCTTCTGTTCCCATGGATTCCTTGAAAATTGCCCTTCCACAGTTGCTTTTCATCTGTCCCTGTGAGTGTGTGTGATGTGTTTGGTGACTGGAAGCTTAGCAGCAGGGTTTGTGTTCTTACCAAACATGGAAGAAATTGTGTGATGACAGAAATTGCAATGAACTTCCAAGGGCAACAGGCTTCCACTGACACGTGCCAGGCATCCAGGTATGCCAGGTCAGAGCCAGGGAAGTGGGCCAGGTGCAACATGCAATCAGCTCTGTTTAGGTACAACACCCCAATTGCTGGGAAAAAGAAAATACTTTGTTCTTTTTCATGACAGGTTTCTTTGATTCCCTTGATTCTGGTCCCAAAAGGCAAGGCTGCCTTTAGGGGAAGGAGGGAGATAAAACTCGTGGGTAAACATGGAGAGCTAAACTTGTAAACATTCTGTTCTGGACCTTGGCTTCGCTGTTGATGCAGCCAGTGTGTGATGCAGGGGACCACATGTGGGCAGAACTTCTCAGAAGGTCTGGAGCCACTCGGCTCTCACAGGGGCCAGAATTTTTCTGGCAGGAAGGTCGTTCACTCAGCACCTTGGAAGGTGGAGAATTCTTCCAGTCAGTCTTCTTTTCAAGCTCTTATCAGTTCCTTTGTGTTACCAAAGGAACTTCACTGGAGTGGTTTTGGTGCTTGAGCCTTCCAGCGTTTTTGGGATACAAGGGTTGCTTGAAGGTCCTTCTGCACATCTGTAGGCTCACACTGACATAACTTTTTCTTTTAATTGTTGTATAATAATGAAGATCATTTAAGTGTTTATCTGAGCAAACATGTGACTATTTCAGAGCTGATCCATTGCGTTCAAAGGATTTGGATGTCTGCAGCTCTGATCTTGTGCAACCTCCTCACTTATAACATCCTTCTACAGGGAGTTTGCACCAGGGCACAGTATCGAATTGTAAAGTTAACCAATAAATAGTCACTTTTGTTTTCTTCACATGCAGCTTGGCTTATGTAAATGTAAGAAGAGATAAAAGACTGGCTGGGTGGTGTTGGGGTAGGTGTTAGCGTCTTCAGAAGAAGTTTTATGGCTTGTAGGGCTTAAACTGAATGAAGTCTTGTTCTAGACTGGGACTCAGTTGTGAAAAGTGCAAATTCCATGAAGTTCAGGCTGCAAAATAAGTGATATCACACTCTGCACTCAGCTGTCCTGAACGGCTGCAGCAGAGATGGGGCGTCCTTGGCAGCGTGCAGCCTGCTCTGTGGAAAGCAGCTGCATTTCTCCCTCCACGCCCAGGGAATAAGTTGTAGCACATGTTTCCCAGTGCAACCAGCTGGCTCTGGCCATCCATGTAGAGGGAATGAAAGGCGCTGGGGTTTTCAGCCCTGTTGGGTGGGAATTTTTAACTCGCCTCACTGGAAAGTTTTGTTTGGAGATGTTTTGCGTCTTTCCCGTGCTGCTCAGACGTTACAGGATGTGTGCCAGTTCACACAGGCTCCTGTGGAGTTTGGGCTGCATCTGTGAGCTGTGGAGTGAACTGTCCTGAGGTTGAACACGTCACCAGGAGTTTTCTCAAGTTGCTTCTCCGTGTGTCTTTGCTGTCATGTTCAGTGCAGCCTGTGGAGTTTTTAAAAGCGGAAGTTTCAAATTGTACACGTGTGCAGTGCAGATTCCATAGTCATAACACTGGTACATATCTATTAAATCTCTTCCCTGATCCTTAAGGCAGTTCAACTGCAAGCTCTCTTGAACAGGAAAAAACTGTCAGCTTGGTTGCTTGTCCAAGTGAAGAGCTCAGGTAGCAGATTTTACAGCAATATCAGGAAAATCAAGGTAGTGATAAAAATTTTTTGACAAACTGCTGCTGAAAATAATTTCTTATGCTGGGTTGTTCATAGCACATTCATGTAACTGTATGGATGAGTGACTATTTATAAACCCTTCGCTGTCATTGGTGTTTGTGTGTCTTGCAATGCTTTTGTAACTTTGGGGATATTTACAGGTTCAATCAATGTGTAACTATGAACGTAAACAAAAACTGAGAAATAATGTTGTGAACATGCAATTTGTTATTGTGTACATATGATACATGTGAAGAGCTTTCCAGCTGTTGGAAGGTGGAGCCTGTAAAGGAAAGTGAGAGGGAACTGACATGCCAGAACGTCACTCAGGACTCAACAACCTGAAACCCATTTTAAATCTGTATTCCATGGAGAGACATGGTCATTATAACAAATTTCCACAATAAATTGCTAAATGAAGATGCCCTGAAAGCAGGAAGGACTGCTTCCGTGACAAATATTGATGTGCTGAGCTACAACATTTGCTAAGGACACAGTGCAATACTAACCACTTACTCCTTTGTTCTTCATTTCTAGGTCAAGATGTTGTTAAGTATAAAAAGTATCTTATGGATGTACTCTACGTTAGCTATAACATATATGCTACCTAAAGGTAAGTTTCTGTACACAGAACATTTCATTTAAATTAATTTAGTGGTCTAATTGGTAGGGCGTTTCACAGGACTGAAGAAACAGCCCAAATTCAGGAAATTGTCTTTCTTTGCCTCTGCCATGCTGTTAATGTCACTAATTTTGTTTCTGTGTCCTCCCCAAGGCATTAGTGATTTATTTCTGTTGTGCTTGGGCTGCCATGAGCTAAGCAGCTGGACCTCTTGGCTGCTGGGGTCTCGAGCAAGGAGGTGTTAGGGCAGCTGCAGGTTTGGGTGGAAAGAAAGGAGCTCTTACTGCCTCTCTTGGTGATTACATGCTAAAACTGAAGTATGTATCCATGTGTGGTTGCCCTGCTTCTTTGAAAGTTTAGGTCAGGCCTTCAGTATGGAAAATATCCCAACAGCTGCTGCAGACTCACAAAATTGGGAAAGCAGCTTTCCCAAGTCTCAAAGCAAGATTTTTCTTTATTTTCTTTCCCCCTTCTTTCCAGGTACCTCTCAAACTGATTTTAGCCTTTGGGAAAATCAAATTACTATTTCTTTTTTTTTTTTTTTTTTTTTTTTTTTTTTCCCTTTTTTTTTTTTTTTTTTTTTTTTTTTTTTTTTTTCCACCTAGCTGGAACACTGTTGCTAATAGCATGTTTAGGTAATCCTGAAAATGAAAAGGACTGGTTCATTAGTGGAACCAATTAAAAATAAGAAAAGGATAATGCATTTAGATTGGCTATAAGGAAGCAAGATCTAGATCAGACCACAGACCTGACTCACTGCCTTGCACAAATTTAGAATTCAGGGATACAGGGACTGAGAGGGCAGCACTCAAAATGGGGAGGAGTCAGATGGATCCTTGGAGTAGTAGAAAGTGGGATGGCGTCTTTACATGTCCTCTCACTTACTCCACCTTTTATTACATCATAAATGTAATTTGTCTTCAGAGTGGGATTTTGGGTACTCGGGGGATTTTTATGAGTGTCCCATTCTTTGGAATGTAGATCAGGTTGTGACCCATCCTTATTTGTCCAAATTTTTTTTAAGACATTCAGAAAGACGTATGTTCCTAGAACATACTGTGAACTTTGTGGGGTTTACTTTTTAAGTCAGGGGCCATTCTTTTGGCCTACAGAGTCTTAAGCATTTTCAAACTGTGGCCATGGTGAGGAGTTCAAGGATGAAAAAAATTTCCTTTTTCATGAATTGATCTAATTAATGATCCCAAATAATCTGTGGGATCAACTCTTTTCCTTATCTTTTATAGAAAAGTCAGTGCAATAATATTTTTGAGAATGAATGCACACAATCTTTATAAGTATGGCTTAAAAAAAAAAATACTCTAAAAATAAAACTTATCCCAGCATTCTGAAAGATAGACACCTTATGTTTCAACCTTTTCTTTTTGAATCCTTAGTTTGGATTTAAAATTGAAGCCTTTAAATCTTTTGTGAAATACAAATTCCCAGCTTATCACTATTGTGGTTTACAAGCTGGACCTTGTGGTTATGATCAACACTGGAGCTTTTCCTTCTTGTTTTGGGTGGCCATTTGTGGTGTTCTGTTGAGTTCTGCAGCTGAGATTTGCATTTGCCTGGCTCCTTGTGAAGTGTCTTGCAGACTATAAAATTAATTCTTCATCACTCCTTCTCTTATTCTGCTTGCTCAGACCCCAAACCACCTGGTAAAGAACTCAGGTTATTGTTGGGTCTCAGTCTATTACTTTTCAGTATTTCCTACAAATTTCACTAATTTTAATTAATTATTATCTTCACTAAAAGATTGGTGTTCAATGAAAAGGTTTCTCCTAGGCTCAGTGCTAGTAGTTGGAATGACAAAACACACAATTTCACTGATCCTTTTTATTTCTGCTGCTAGACAGGGCAATATACCATATGTCCCAGCAGGTTGTTGATGAACTGAAAAATGAGATGCAACATTTTTCTTTTTTTTTTTTTTCCTTCTCATAAATTTAGCTAAAAATAAATAGAATATTTTATTCTTTAAGCATGTGGGGTTTGTCTGCATAGTCAGTAGCAACATTCTGTTCAGCTAAATGCAATTATGTGGCAAATTCACTCCTCTTCAGCAATGTCACACCATGCAGGGCACTCTGTTCTTCAGACTTTTTGTCCACTGCAGACCTATTGGCCTGGTCATTGTGGTTAATGTGATACAGAAGGGCAGAATTCTGTCCTTTTTAAAATTATCTTGACTCCTACTTTAAGAATTTTGTAAAATTTACCACAGCACAAGTGTACACATTTTGGAGAAAGAGACTTTGTTCTCAAGCAAGAATTCCTTTCTTCCCACCTCAAAAGGAAGACATCCATTGGTCTATCACATCCCACTGAGAGGGGCTGATATGGAGTAAAAGCTTAGCAAAAATGATAAAGGAGGGGAAAAAAGGTGTTATATGGATTAATATGAGATGCTGATAGCTTCTGCATTGGTCAGTAAATTCTGCTAGACTAATTTGGAGTGCTGCAAGAAATCAAGCCTTTTGGAACTGTGCAGGAACATCACTTAATCTTGTATTATGTTAGCCAAATATATTCTTTTTCTGTAGGGAAAAACTTCCTCCTCCTCCTTTCTCCTTCTCCTCCTTCTTCTTGCCTTCTTCTCCTCCTTCCTTCACCTTGTCACAACAAATAGTTTTTTATAAAGTGTGATTTAAGCCTTTCTAAAGTTGGGCAGAACTGCAGCTACACAGAATCTTCTGTTCTGGGAAGTAGCACAGTTTAGGCTGGATCTAGTTTTCATATTGGGATGATATGTGTTGTTTGCCAAGGCTTCCAGCTGGCTGAAGTGAAGACAGAAATTTTAAAGGGAGAAAATTTCCTCAGGGATCAGCGCTGATATTCCAGATCACTCATAATCACAAACAGTGTTCTTTCAAAGTTTATTAAAGTTCTGTCAGTCAGTATAATTATAGTGTAGTCATTCTTCAATTAAGAAAAAAGTTTCTGTAAGGTGTATAGATGACAAGAGATCATAATAAATTCTAAATATTTTGAGACTGATTTTGATCTCCCACCTGTGCAATTTGGCAGTAATTCCATCACAACTGATAGAAGTGAGAATTAATTCTATTTCTTTATCTCCAACCACTGCAACTCTGTGAAGTTTCAAGAAAATAAAGGCAATAAAAAAGATCTCTTATTTCATCCATTTTGATACCATCATCTTGACTCTATCTGAGTTGTGTGCCCAAGGAATTCTAGTTTGGTAGGCATGGATGGAACGGACCTGAGAACTCTATTCAGAATTCTGTGTCTTCCCTGTCAGTCCATTTATCTCTTTTTCTGGCTAGTACTTTATTATTAAAATGCTTGGGCATTGAGCTGATGATGCTTGTACTGGACTTGTTTAGATAATATCATTAAGACTTTGTCCTGTGGAAAATCATCTGTCTCTGTTAAAAATAATCAGGTTAATGAGCAACTGTCATTTTTTCTTCCATTTTCCTTTTTCCCTAATTTCTTTTTTTTTCTGCTTTCTTTCTTCGTTTTTTAATTTTTTTTTTATTCACCCCTTCTTTTTTTTTATTCCCTTTTTGCTCCTTTGATTCTCTCCCTCTGCCCACCCTTCCATCCAACCCTCCAATCTCCTACTCTTTATGGAGAGATTATATTTTTTGTCATAGATAAAAAGATAATTTTTATGTGCTGGTGTCTCCTGTTTCATATATCACTCTGTTGATGGCTATTATTAAGTTATTATATTTCTAAACTTATAAATCACATCTCCCTTCAAAATAGTGATGACCATGTTCTACCTTTCAAAAATGTTAGTGAAGGACTGTGAAAGAGGTAAAATAGTTACTGTTGTGCATCAGCTTTTAATCTTCATTAAGCCATGATGTATGATGAAATAACATCACATGAAAAAGGCAAATCCATCAGAAACCCTCTCTTCAGTCGCAGCGTGCAGCTTGGATGAACAGTAGTCAACTTCCCCCTCAGGATATTGTCAGATGGAAGTATTTCACTGTGAAATGTTTGCAGCTGGAGATGACATAAAAAATGATGAAAGTCCTGATCATGTCAAGTCTGAGCCAAGCAGGGACTTTCTGCGTGCTTTACTTCTTCCTTTGCTTTTACATCCTGAAATATTTCATTTCTGCGATGCGTTAAAGGCCCTGAGGCTACAAGGAAACAACTTTGAAAGAGTGACTATTTGGGAGACTCTCACAGGAAAGGCTTTTGTTTCAGCACGTGTGCAATAAAAAGATTTAACCCCTGAGAGAACAGTGGGGTCAGGGGTGACAGGGGTGCAAAGCCATGGGCTGTGCTTCCTTCTGAGGACAGGAACAGCTGCTGTGAGGCGAGGCAAGGTGTAAACTCCAGCATCTCCCCTGCATTCAGGGTTTTGGCCAGTGAGGTAACTCAAAATTTTTCACTCAGAGTGGTCTTCCTCCTGTGACTTGAAGAAACAGCTCTTATAGTTCATCTGTCAGCTAAAATTTCAGACCAGTTTCCAAAAGTTAATTACTTGGTGACCATGCAGAAATGAAGAAAATAAGTCAGAATGAAATTTTCCCAAAGAGAAATGTGCTGCATCGTCAGCCTAAGATGTACCAAGATTGATACAAACTCTTTTTCAGCTTGTACTCCCAGTCCTGTTACAAATCAGCTAAGGTTCATGGATTTCAGGCTTTGCATTAGTGAATCATTATTTAACAATGAAATTTATCTGTTTCTGATTTTTCTGTTGCACTAATGTAATTTCTCCTTTCTCTCTCCTCTCTCTCTCTCCTTTTTCTAGTCAAAGCAGAAAAAAAAACTCTGGTCAAGGGATCTCTCTCTGGAACTTCAGTCCTGCCATGCTTCTTTTCAACCACACCCACCATATCCTCCAGCTACGCTGCCGAGTACCTCCGGATCAAATGGTCCAAGGTGGAACTGGACAAAAGCGGGAAGGACGCCAAGGAAACCACGGTCCTGGTGGCCCAAAATGGCAACATCAAAATAGGCCAGAGCTACAAGGACAGGGTGTCTGTCCCCAGCCATTCCGAGGAGACCGGGGATGCCTCGCTGACCTTCTCCAAGCTGCGCGCCAGCGACGCCGGGGTCTATCGCTGCGACGTCATGTATGGAGTGGAGGACACGCAGGGCATCGTCTCTCTGGCTGTTGAGGGTAAGGATTTGTCTATTTCATTCCTAGCCAGCAGTGATTCCAGATAAACTTGGTAATAAACGCAGAACTAGAAAGGGTTTACAGGATTTTAGCGATTTGCCCTTTGAGTAGGGTGAAAAGAAGCAACTTTCTATCATAATGGAAAGGATGAAAATTTAGAATGAAAAGAAGCCACTGAAGATGTGGTTGGCCTGTCTTGATGTCCCAAACTATGCCACCAAAAGTGGGAGCCGCTCTGTTTTTGGGAAAGGATCATCAGCATGAAGGAAGTGCTTCTTTTTGCCCAGTAATAAATTTTGGATGGGCAGAAGGAAAACTAATCTGTGAGAAGCTGCAAGAAAAGAAGTAGGGAGGTGTTTACTAAATGTGGAGCAGGCAGTGATAAGTTTGCTTGCTACCTGTATTAGGAAATAGACTCCGAAATTTTAAGAGGGAGAAGTCTATCTGTTGAGAGATGGAAGAGACAGGTGTTTCAGAACTGTTGACCTTGAAGAAGACATCTCTAAGACTATCAAGTCTAAGCACTGCCATGTTCACTACTAACTTGGGTCCCCAAATGCTATATTCAAGCATTTTTGGAACTCTCCCAGGGATGATAACAACCCCACTTCCCTGGGAAGTGAATTTTGATGTCTGACCACCCTTTCAGTGAAGTTCATAATTTCCTGGTGTCCACCTTGAGCTCCCCTGGCCCAGCCTGAGGCCGTTGCCTCTGCTCCTGTCCCTGTTCCCTGGAGCAGAGCCCGACCCCCCGGCTGTCCCCTCCTGTCAGGAGCTGTGCAGAGCTCAAGGTCACCCCTGAGCCTCCTTTTCTCCAGGCTGAGCCCCTTCCCAGCTCCCTCAGCCTCTCCAGCCCTTTCCCAGCTCCGTTCCCTCTCTGGCCACGCTCCAGCCCCTCCATTTGTTGTTTGGGTGGCCCAGAGGTGCCCCAGGATCTGGTGTGGTCCCTCAGCAGTGCCAGCACAGGAACAGTCACTGCCTGTGGCTGGCACAGCCCAGGGGCCATCAGCCTCTTGCCCTCCTGGGCACCCTGGGCTTGTGTCCAGCTGCAGTCACAGCACCCCCAGGGCCTGACCCAGCTTTGCAGCCTCTCTGCCCCAGCCTGGAGTGCTCCATGGGTTTAAGCACAGCAAAGGAGTGGCCAAAGCAGCGTGTGATGTGTGGGTGTTTCTCCCCTCAGAGCCCGCTTGTGGAGAGAGCACAGAGACTGTTCCAGAGCCCATCTGGCACTGAGCCTGACCTCACAGGCGGTGCTGAAAGGCAGGGCATTAACCCAGGCTCTGTGCCATGCACAGGCAAGTTCTGGACCCAGGTTTCTGCCTGTGCTTAGAACAATGCTGAGCTGTGTGGATGGATCTCCTCGTAGGAGCCATTTGAGGAGATTGTTCTCGTAGGAGCCTTGCTTTGGGCCCTGCCTCACACACTCCTTTGTAGCTCGGTGTTTTTTGGAAGTTCAGTATTTACTCAGGTGAATGAATCCCAAAGCAAACATTCATATCTGCTGCTGGAAATCATGGTTTTGGCTAAGGCTTTTTTGGTGAGCTTAATACTGTATTGTTCTTCCAATCTACCCAACCTAATGTGAATAGTCTGTTGGAATTGATTCAATGAAAGGATTTGAAGGTGTGGCCTTCATTTGGAAATACAATAAATCAGTGTAGCCATTAATGTCTGCATACCTTCATAAACTGTTAGGTCCTAATGATAAAAGCAAAAGAAATCCTGGTTTGAACATTACTTTTCATAATGAGTGTACCTGGCGTTCCTTACCCCTTTTCAAGTGTTCCCTTGACTACACATCTATATCCAGGAGCTGCAGATGTTTATGACAATAAAATATCAGATGATTTATGGTGTTACTGTAGCTTTTGTAGTTGCTGCTCCTGCAAAAACCCTGCAAAGTGTTGACGTGATTAGATTTATTATTTTACCTCAATGAAAACTTCACAGACTCCATTTTCTTTCTGCAACTGTTCTTTTCCATGACTGCTTTAATGTCAGAATTTCAGGACAGGAAAAAAGCTAAGTCTTGATCCAAGTGGAAAATTGGTTTGCTAGACTGTCATTTGTGCCATCCATTCTCAGTTTTCTCCATTATGTAAACAAATGGCATTTATTATACTCATAAGAACTTCATGTGAATGTTGCTGCTCAGATCTTCTGCTCTATTCTTTATGGTTTCTTGTGATTTCAGCTTTTATTAATAAACCAAAAAAACATTAGTCCCAAACACAAATTACCTCTACTGTTTCTTTTTGAACCTGCACCCCAAAGTGTCAACATTTGAGGAGACTTTTCTCTCCCTTTGTTCATCCTGTCCTGATTGGGGTGCAGGGAGATATTTCCATGTTAACTGAGCTAATTCCAGAGCTGAGAGATAGCCTGGTTCAGCACTGTGCTTTGGTCAGCTCTCCTGGGTGGAGCTGGGGCTGCTGGAGCTCTGGTAAAATTATCACCAGTTCTTTTCTTCTGCTCATTTTATGCTCAAACTAAGTAGGCCAGAAGTTTTCATCAGAGTTCTGCTGAAACAGCTGTAATTTCTCCTTTGCCATTATGATGAATTTCTGTTTTGGGGTTTTTTTTATGCTTCTTTGGATATTTTTAAACCAATTCAGGACTTTTTTTCCTAGGTATTTTCAGGGTCTCTATTTGTTTTATAGACACTCCCTAATTTTAAACTTTCAAACAAAAAGCATAATGCAGTATCAATGAAGCCAGGAAGATAAGATTAGACAGCTGGCCTGCTTGTTTTTCAAATTAACCTTTGTGGCATCATAGATAGCTGGGAAAGATAACTTGAATAAAATTACTGTAAATGCCATTTCTCTTCTTTAGGTATGATGGGAATACAAAACTGCTATTGAACACACTGTGCATCAAATGAATGTATTTTACCAGTGATGGAATGTATTGTGAATGAAAAGTGGGATTTCTGAGGAAGGATAATTTTCTCAGCAGCATACAGATTTTCCCAGGTTAAGCTGAATAGTGGGTATTAGTCATTGAAAGTAGAACTTCTAATGCTTAATTGTTTATTTTGGCTGGGTCTCAAGCCCAAGACTGTACAGAAGTTGTAACTGTGAACCTATTTTTTTCTGTTTAGCTATCACAAATGACAAATTTGTTAGGTTGTGTGCAAATATCCAGTTGATTTGCTGTTTTAGATGCCAAATGAACTTCTGAAGTCAGATTCATATGTTATTAGCAACAGACTGTTCATACAAAAGATCTGTCCCAGACTCTTATTCCTAAGAAAGCAGCTGATATCAAAGGGCAAAGTTAAACACTTTCCCTGTTGCTGTCAGAGACCTGTCACCCATGGTATTAGCCACACAGAGACTTTTGTTATTCTATCCTGAACAGATATGGGTTTGTTTTTTCTCATTTGTTTTTTGAATGTCTGTAGATATTCGTTATCCATGGGTGGACTCCTGGTTAAGCCACCACTTAACCACAGCTGGTTATCTTAGTTATCATTCTCTAGGAAGGCACATTTCATCACACACATTGCCTTTGTCTCTGCAGTGCATATTTCTGCTAGATCCATTATATATTTCACCTTTTTTGACAGTTGGTGACAGTTTTCTAAACAATGGCAGGATCTTGGAAATTGATGTAATTCTGTGACCTTCCTTTGCCTTGGTTGTAGGAATTAACGATGCCAGCTACTTGGTATCAATAGCTGCTTATGTTTGGAAATAGGTGATCTTTGAGGTCCTTTCCATTCCAAACCATTTAATGATTCTGCCTCAGAGACATCATCAAGACACTGTGAGTTCACATGGGATCTTTCATCTGCTGAGCAGTACTTGGCTGTGTGTGCATCAAACAGAGATCAAATATTTTGACCTGAATATCTGTTTAAATGTCTCAGAGCAAAAAGCCTGAATTGGCTCATTTAATTCTAGGGGTGTGAGCAGTTGTGTTCTGGCTGGGTTGGCTCTCTGTGCACAGCCCTGGGGATCTGGGAATGTCACAGCAAAGTGTAGGAGGGGCATGACAATGTTGGGTTACTTACAGTTTTCCTTTGGCGTTGCAAGTCTCCACGTTAGGTGCTGAGCCTTGTGCCCAAACCCAGGAGGAAACACCCATCCACAGGGGCGAGGCGCTCTCCATACTTCACCCCTGAGATCAGGGTTACTATTTTGCTTTTTGCACTTGGTGAGGGTGTAAGGGAGAGAAATGAAACAATTTTAGCTCACGCAGGGAGTTTGGGGCAGCCAGGTGTGCCTGCCATACTCATTATTCAGACCTGCAGGGCTGTCCTTGGGGCAGGCAGCTCTGCAGGATCACTGGAGGGGCATTTTCCTCACACTGGATACCCCCTTTCCTGTTATTAATCATGGAGAATGCTCTCCTGACAGCCTGGTTGCTGCTATAATTACACTGATCTCCCAGACAAGGATATTTTTGTGTTCAAACTGGATCTAACAACATGGCAGTGTTAGATGCTTCAGCTTCTAACAAGGAGAGGAATGAAAAATCTTAGAATATTTTGAGTTGGAAGGGACCCACTAGGATCATCCAAGTCCAATCCTGTATTTGTAGAACAAGTCATTCATACTCATTTTCATGTCCACGTGTTTTCTTCTCTGCCCTATGTGCACGTTCATCCAAAATTTTCCCTTTATCTCAGGAGCAATTCTTCCTTTGTCAGATTCTGTAATTTCATATCTCTATAGTGTTTTTTGCTTTTCTTCTAACCTTTCTTGCTGTTACTGAGCCCACAACTCAAACTGTCTCGCAGTGGGAGTCCTTGGCCTCTCAGCTTTTGGGTATTCCTGGGTGAGGTAAGCTCTCTGTATTAAATATTCCTGGTCACCTATTAGGGAGATTTATAGATTACTCTTTTAGATTCAACTTGTAACCTTTAGGCAAAGCTACCTTGGGTGTGTTTCACATTTATTCCTCCTCTCTAGTTGTAATGAAGTCCACTTTTATAAAATACCTCTGAGCTACCTTGTAAAAATCTGACATAGAAATGAAATGGCATGGTACTT